TATATGTATGTATATATATATATATCTCTTCATATACATATATGTACACAGGAAAATATGAAAAAAAGGAAAATATCTTGCTTAAGCTTTTAACAATTTTCTTATAGATTCTCAAGCAAAAAATCAAAAAAAAAAAATAATCAGAAAGAAAAAAAAAACCAAAAAAATGTATAAAACAAGAAACACAACAAACAAGAGAAATAAAAATAAAAGAGCAGTAAAATAGAAACTAAAAGGCTACAGAGTTGATTATAAATTGAAAGTGGCAACAGCACAAAGTATCCTTTAAGAAATATGTTGATGTGCTGCCTACAAATGATATGCTGGATACAAATGTTATGCTTGCTTAAGAACAGCCGCAGGAAAATTAGCATAGGTCGAATTTTAATTTTGTTAGGTTGGGTAAGGCGCTATGAAAAAGTTTCAACCGAACACAGACGCAAGCACGCACAGACACACACACGCACAGATACTTGTGCATATATGTGAGCACATTTTAATATATGTTTAAAGGAACTTCCAAAAAAAAGGACACAAATATTTTTGTTGTTTGTTCATAAAAAAGAAAACAAAGAACAAGAAAAAGAAAGAAAAATGTAAAAAAAAAATAGTACGACGAAAAACAGAAAATTAAGCAAAACATAGAAATATTATGGGAACTTCACAGCATATCCTTGGGCTTTTTATCCTACACAGCCAAAGCACATTTATACAAAACTGCATATATTTACATATTAACGTCTATGTTTATGCAGTGAGTGACTTTAATAAGAAGTTGAACTAAAAAACAGAAAAGAGAAATATCTACACTAACCATAGTAATAACAAAATCAAAAGGATTTAGTATAAATTGCAAATTAAGTTTCCGTAGCAGTGACTAAAGTGCAGAAAAAAATAACATTTCAATTCAGAAAAAAGGTTGAGCATCTCGAAATCTTGTAGCACTCTACCACATGACTGGACTGGACAAACACTTAACAGATAATTATATTATAATTGGAAACTTTAATGTTAAGCTAGTTTTGTTTATATCAGCGAGTGTATTAGAAACTGTAGTAGTAACTTGTATCAGGACGTTCAAAAGATATAGGTTCTTAGAAAGATACTTCTCTAATAGTTTAACAGACTGTTCATAGGTAAAGATGAAAGATCTATTAAATTATCTAAATTTGGCGGAATGGATTTAGTCCCTACTCTTCTATACTAGGGTTCTTGAGAAGATGTGGTAGCAAAACGGCGAAAATGCGCTATAAAAATCCGAAATACTTATACATTTATACTACACTATATTCTGTACTAGATGGTGGTTAACATCCATGTACCTCAGATAGAAGTTATCTAATGGCCTGCCACTGCAACTAACCACCAACCATATAGTATCTAGTACAGAATATAGTGTCGTATAAATGTATAAGTATTTTAATAGTTATATTATTATCATAAATAAAAATATTATCATATTATTACATATAAGAAAAATGTAATATGAAAACTCTAGTTTGTTAAGTTTGACTTTTAACACACATATGTGTATCATGTAAATTTAAGGAGAATAAATGAGTCAGTATATCACTGACAGAAAAAGGATTAGTATGTTTTAACTTCATTCTGAGCCGCTTGACCGCAAAACTTGCAAGTCTAAAAACCGCTTTGAATCTTAAAAAGCTTAAAATGTTCTTTAAAGGGAGATCCTGACCCATTATGTTGTCGTATAAGAAACTCAGAATTTCAAAAACCTCTTCGAACTTTTGGCAAAGGTTAAAAGTTTCTTTAAAATAGGGTCCTGTCCCAATATGCCGTCGTATAAAAAACTCAGTGGATCAAATACCACTTCGAACCTTTATTAAAGCATAAAATGTGTTGAGTCCTGGAGTTTGCAAAAATTCTCAAAAAACGGAACCCTTAAAATAGTAAAAAGTTCTGTCCTGTCCCAATATGCCGCCCTATAAGAAACTCAGAGTTTCAAAAACTACTCTGAACCTTTGGTAAAACGTAAAAAGCTTTGAGTCATAAAAATTGCTAAGATTCTCAAAAAACGAAACCCTTAAAATAGTTAAAAGTAATATAGTAAATTAGCGGGTAGTAAGAAAGCAGATGTGATGCATTTTCATCGTCCTTTCCACAACTGCGATTGGAATGATTAAGTAGTAGATTCAATTTTTTAGCGTGGTTGTCTACTCGGCTGCGACTCGGCAACGAACCTATCATAAGACTGTTATCTTTATGTGGCAACTCAATGAGAGTCCTGAATTTTTTCTTAAAAGAATACGGCCAACTTACATACTGATGCTTACGTATCATTGAGTTATCCCATTCTTTATTAAATTGCTCGGAATAGGAAGAATTCAATAAATGTTTGTATGATATTTACAATATGCCACCAGAGTTTTTAGGTTTTCTGATTGATTACCTGAAGAATACCATCTAACCAGATACTTTGCCATAGAGTAGACATGTTAAACTGTTGATTTTCATTAAAGACAGCTTATTTAGAGATGTGTTGCAATTAAAATTTACTTTAGGTGTAAATTGGACTGCACACAAGGACTTTCAGACAGCTTGACTGTCTGATAGTATGTATGCATTCCTAATAATTATATGTTATTATCACCTTCGATACAAGTTATAGCTTTCCTAATAGCGATCGCTTGTGCTGGTAAAATACAATCAACAGGAAGCCCATAATAAATAGATTTATTTATTCCTTATTTGGTCAAGAAATCAGAAAATTTCGTTCCCTACACCATTGATTATTTTAGAGCCGTCTCTAAAAATGAATGGATCCTCTTTAATAAGGAAATTATTTATGTTAAAAATTATAGAGTTTTTTTTTTTATTTTACATGAGAAAAGACATTGTCAGCCAATAATACTTTTCAATGAATCCTTATTCATAAGCAAGTATAAAGTTTATCCGAGAATACGATGAAGTCGTATATAGAGACTTTAGCGAAATAATATCATGAAGTTCAAGATACATTAACCATCCAATGACTATATAATAATAAGGATTCGATTGAAGGAATATGCTTATATATATATATAAATTATATACAACCGTTATCGTTTATTCTTTGTTGCTAAAGTTCGTTGATTTTCCGAATTTGTTACAACTACCTCAAGGTACTTTTCAATAACCGCGTCAAATGCTGTCTTAAGGCTTTCATTTTAACTTAATATATGATGAGGAAACAGGATTACATTGACAACTGGCAAACTGATACGAAAAGTGTAAGGGTACCATTTAATAGAAGTGCAACACTATCAAACATAACTCTGTTCTTGTAATAATATATGTTAGAACTCATAGCACCATGGGCATTTCATGGTGCTATGAGTATTAGTACTTTTTAGTAACAGTCAGTTTACCCCAGCTACCTATCTATTCTTTTTTCACAATACTTCCATAAAGGAGACTATTGGTTGTTTACAAATCTCCAAAATTGAAAAGAATAGTGAATATTAAATTAAAAGGATTTTCTATCTAATTCTGTAGGTCAGACATCTCTCACTTCACCTACTTATCCATCTCATAATTTAATGATGGCTACTGATTTCATCAAGACATATATATTATTCCAATGTATATTGATTTTAAAATGAAATAAATTTTATAAGCCTCGTTAACTAATATAGCGCCATAGAAAAAGGATATTTCTTGCATAATCCTTTGGATCAATTTTCGTTATAAGCATTAAATGCACATACTTTTATATACACTCATCATTGTTTATACATTTACGTTATGTATGTGTATATGTATATGTGATTATGTATATGTACAAGTTTTCATTTATATTTACTTGAGCTGGTAAGCGTCTGCACCTCCTTTCCCTTTTTGTTTGTCGATTTTATTTGCAAATAATCATTTATTTTAATATTGCTGTTTTCATAATGTTGTTGTTGTTGTTGTTGTTTCGGTTATCCTTGCTGCTGTTCCTGCTGCGGCGTCCGCTGAAGGCAAAGTTATTTTAACATTGATCGAAAGCGGATTATTACAAATTCAATTTAAAGTGAATTTTTGGCAAACTTTTTCATTGAGCAAATAAAAGTATTTTATGTTTTTAAATAATATTAGTTTGAAATATATACGAGTATATATACATATCAGAGACGACTGCTCTAAGGTGAGGAGCTGTGCGGTGCACACCCTAACATAATTTATAAAATGTCAAATAAAATATATAAATATAGATAATGAGAATAATGGGAGATAATGCGAATATATTTATTTCTGCGACCTGCCAACCTATTCAGTGATTTGTATTGGCCCGTGGTCTTATCTGGTCTGGACAGATCTGTTGTAAACAAAGTCACTATACTCTTTTCTATTCATGGTTCCTTCTATGTTTATATTTTCTACTACAAAAGGACCTGAAGAAAAAGTCACACAAACTTCGAAACGTTGGCGATATAACATATATAGAGAACTATATTAAAATAAAAATAAAAACAAATTTACAATTTTTTATTTTATTCTCATAAGTCTTTTCAAAAAATTTATGATTTATTTTAATTTTTTAACTAGAAAAGTGCTATAACAAAGCGTGCTGAATTTTATTATTTATTGTGGTTTTAATAACGTATTTTCAATATGAAACCATTTAAAAAATATTTTCTTCTTCTTGATTCTTCTTCTTGAGTTAGTGCATTACGCACTTTTACTCTATAATGGCTGGGGGGCTTATCTCTACCCCACACTAGGCTTTAACTAGGCTAAGAAATCATATCACTTATTTGTCTTTTAGTTGATGACGGATCTTAAATCAGCATATCTTCCTGAGAGTCCAGAAGTCCAGAGACTTGAGGATTGTTAGGGCGGGGTAAAATAGCGTATCAACTTTAATGAATAATTTTAATAATTTTTTCAACTCAACTAAGCTACAAGTATTGTATTTTGATCCGAAGGCTATGCATTATTAATCAAATCCAAGTTGCTGTAATGAATGTAAATTAAATAATTTATTTTCTAAATCGATTTTAACTTCCTCAAAAAAAAAAAAAAAATAAAAATAACTATACTTTATTATTGAAATGCAATAGTTTAGTTGGAGATTAAATTGAGATGCTTAAGCATTGAATCTCAGCAGTTTTTTGTTCTTATGAATGTCAGTACATTAGAGTTACATACCGGTGAGTACAGCATTTAACATAATAAAACTATAACTCTTCTATTAAAGTACCCGTAATATTGTAACTTTTCTAACATTTTATATTATTTGCCAATAATCATTGTTGCGGAAGTTAGAGTTAAATATATTAAGGCAAAGCAAAGGCAGAATTGTAAAGGATATTCTATACGATAGCTGCTGCTGCTGCTATGTTTCGCATCCTCTGGTGTCTATAGAAATGCGCATTGCTCTGCTGATTGCAGATTGCAGATACGTAGTAGCGATTATATTCACTTATAAGTACGAGGGCGTAATTTGTAGTTGCAGCTCAGCGTTGCACATATTTACACATAGAACTTTGCAGTGCTTTTTAGTAATTGAATCTGCATTGATACCATCGACATTAGATTTTATTTCAATTTAAGTATGTTTTGCTCTTTTCTTCCTTTTTTATAATTTTTTTTGATATTTTTTTCTTATTTATTTGTTACTTGCCTTTTTGGCTTTCAGATTGAAACTTTCACCATGAATCGTCAGTTTTGTTAGCGTATAAATCAATTCGCTGCAAGTTGCAGATAACTTTTTTCTCCACAAAATTTTTATTAAACTTTTTCCTAAGCGATCATAGATTGTTCGTTTGGTTTGCTTTTTTGGCTGGAAGTTCCTGTCTACCGCAACACTTTTGGGATAAATATTTTTACATCTCTTCACTGCGATGTCGTTTTTCATTGGAATTTTATTTCGAATTCGGTTGCACTTATTCAAGTTGGTTGCATTGAACGTGTGCCAATAAAGTTTTATGGCAATGCTTCGTTTTGAATTAAGAACTCGTACTTGTGTCTTTTTTTATTTATTTCTTTTTATGTTGTGTTTCGGTAATAGTTTAGGTATAAAAAATGCTAAAATAAAATTAGAGTAATTTTTAATTAGGGAACTCAGTTCAATAATCAATACATTAATCAATCTGATGGCCTATAAAAAGTACATTATAAGGACATGTGGTTGAATTAAAGTTTTACATAAAGTTATTTAATAAGTTGCTAATGTTAAGACCAAGCCTTTGTATGTTAGAGTCATGTTATGCATACAGCCATGGCACAAATGGAACAATATTTTAGAGCAGGGCTGTCCAAATCACGGCCTGCGGCTAATGTTTGTGCGGCCTGCGACATGATTTTAATCTACTACAATTACACAAATTTTCTTTTGGTGTACTAGTAAAACCACATTATTTTATTTTTATGGTATAACAAATAAATAAATTTAAATTGATAAATTAAAAAAAAATTTAACATTATAACCGTATTTTTTTTTTTTTTCGAAAACAACTGCGACCCTGCAATCTGTATAGTGATTTGTATTGGCCCATGATCGCATCTAGTCTGGGCAGCTCTGTTTTAGAACAATAACTGTTTATGAAAGATTTTTCTCATATTCGTTTTTAAACGAACGATGTTTGTGATCGTACTGGTTTTACTAGTATTCTTCTCAATTCCAAAGCACGACGATTTCATGTCAAACAATTGGATAATATCTGTAAAATGAAAACTACTATACAGATGGAGTTCGTAAATTGAACGTTCATTGGATTAAGAAAGATAAAATTGAAGGAAAAAAATTTCCTGAAATTTCCTGTTTGAAAGTAGAACTACTACAAATATCAAGTCTGAAATTACGTTGGAGTAGGACTAATAACAATGAGGGTAATTCCACTTGTTGTAACAATCAGTCAATTTTTCAGGTTTAGCTAAATTTCTAGCTCTTCTAAATTTCTTTTTTGTGACATATGATTTTCATTAAACAAAGAAATAGTATCTGTAAAACAGAAACCACTGTACTCCATATATATTCATTGATACATCCACAAATTGGAGGCTCGTTTGATTAGGAATGCTGAAGTTGATAGATACTTGATAGATTCCACTTGTTGCAATAACCAACCCATTCTCGAGACTTCTAGGAGTTCATTCTTTTTTTTTTCTTTGTAAAAAGATGATTTTCATTAAACAGAGAGTTAATATCTGTACAAAGAAAATCACTATATAGGCAGAATTCATATATCGGAGGTTCGTTTGATTAAATATATTGAAATTGTTCCAAATTTTATCGAAAAATAAAATTATTTTTACAATTAAAAATTAGTTTTCACAAACAATACAAAATATTGTTTAAGTAAGAGAATGTGTTGGAGAAATAGATGATTACAACAATTGAATTCGGTATCATTTTAATTCAAAGTACATACTATTTTATGTAGTAAGTACTTTATTTAAATTGCTTAACTATCAACAGTATTTTCTCTCCCAATAAAATTATGTAAAAACTTAAGCCTTTAAAAAAAAATTTATTGATAAATATTAAACATAGTATCTTTAAAACGTTTAATGCGTTTACGTATTTATTAAGGTTACCTTCCAACGCAGCAGTTATATTTTAATTAAATATAATATTAAATAAATGTTTGGTATTTAAAACGGCACTTACAGGTACTTCGTCTACTTCACTTACTTACAAGCTTGCCGACACCTACTTTTGTAGTTGAAACATTGACATATGCATCAGACACAGAACCACGGAGCACAGTTTCATATAAATTTTTATAAATTAAAAAAAACCGCTCATAACATTTTACAACACCGCATGTGCCCTCAAATGACATTAAGCTGTCAACGTAAATGACATAAAATTGCAGCCATTTTGACCCTCGTTGAACCGCAAAATGGCAGATAGTAATTTCGTTCAGTATTGTTGTTGTTGTTTTGTGGTTTAAACTTTGTTTTTATGGCTGGCACACAACGAAGCTATTAAAAGAAAATAAACATATAAGCTTATCCTTTTCATGTGGCCTCACATGAATTTACATAGATTTTTTTCTCTTTTTAACATATTAACATACAAAATCGTTTAAAAATAATGCCTATAACTAACGGCAATGAATAATTTTATTAGTACGGGTATTTGTTTAAAGTTTTAATAGAATTCAAATAAATGTGGTTGAAATTTAGGTGAGTTAAGAAAATTATGGTTATGGTAATAAAATCAGAATTTGGAGAGTTTCTCTATTTTGTGTAATGACGAGTACAAAAGATATGCCCATCTTTTTATAGTAGTCTTATAGTAGTTTATAGTAGTCTGTATCTAAATATATATCCAACTGGAATTAAGAAAAAAAATTGTTTTTAAAAATAAAGCTAATCGTCTACCATTTAAACATCCATATGCCGTATGCAAAGGTTATATGTGGCATCAATAATGCCACATAACATATGTCACACAGCTTAGTGTTATTCCCACAATTAAAACAAAAAACGGAATAAATTTTTCTAAATTTGAGGGTTTCTGCAAAGCACAGATAAAAGTATTTTAATCTAAAAAAATCTTACATTTAAAAAATTATTTTAATCTTTAATGAGAGATTAGATGAAAAGTTTACTGATTGCAAGTAGAAATATTAGAATATTTTTATTACTTAAAAAGAAGTCGTTCGAGTTGATGATACATAAAGTTCGCAATATACTAGTAATTGCACGACCTTACGATCAATTGTGTCTACTTCATGGCCTTAAAGTGAATAAGTAAAACTTCCTCAATTAATAACAGAATTTTTACGATTTTATTATATATTGTTCCGGCTTAATGACCTTAGAGTACCTCTTTACATACCACTTCCTCAATGATTGATAGTATTTCTACTATTTTACATAGTTTTAGTTCATCACCGTTTAAAATCACAAACTTATTTTATTTTTTATGCAATCTGTAAGTTTTATTGAAGATAAGTCCCAATTTGTTTAGGTGATAGTTAAAGTCTGAAGTGTCTTGTAAAAATTTGTATGATAATTTTTAAGCTGTATATCTGATTCTTCAAAACAATCTTTATATGCATTTCGATTATAGGTTTAGAATGTGACAAAGTCAGTAGGATGTTTTTTTTTATGTCTCCACATAACTATTAATAAGCAAAGAAATATTACTCCTTCCCAGACTACAAAGGTGTTCTGTATCTGTTGGCAAGGATATTGGCTATGTTCATCGAATTTGTCTGCGTTTTCATTGCCTTTAATCTTATAACATCTATTTTTGTTTGTTCTGCCAATTTTTTTTTAATTTTAATAGTCACAATTTCAGTAGTTACGATCTTATTTAATGAGATTTGATGGTTGCCTAATGTTTACCCTTTGGTTTCCCTAATATTTATTCATTATGAAAAATTTAAACATATGTACTATACTAAACGGGATGGCGGGATGAATTTAGTCATAAGGCTGCATCTTTCATCTATAGAAATGAGTCATTTTTCATTGCAGTTACTACTGTGAAAACGAAAAGACAATAAAGCATTACCGAATCGCAGAATGGTTACAGGTACTTTGGGGAGGTATTCAGATCTGTGGCCGATTATTGCTTAGTCTGATGAAGTGATAAACAATAATCGAGTTGAGGCGTAGAGAGGGGTTATGAAGAAACCTTAGAGAGTAAAACGGTTCAAGTGCGTTGACTTAACTAGCCTTAATATAATAAAAAAGCATCCAATTGTCAAATGTATAGCTCTCTTCTGTGCACGACAATTGAGAATTGGAAAGTGAGAATTAATAGAAACAAACTGTAAATGAGTTTAATTTGAGTATTTGGTTTTAATAAAATAAAAAATTCAATAGAAAGCCTTGAAAGAGGCCATAGAGATCCATTTGTTGTCGCAGTACAAAAGAGTCTTGTTTGACCTATTACTTTTTGCAATAAAATCTGATGCCAAACTAATTTCTTCTTTACACAACAAAACAATTTGCTCGAGATACAAATGAGGTTATCTCAAATCAATTAGTGATTTTTATTTAAAATGTTATTCTTCAGGTTGTACAAATACTTTAGATTTAAGATTAAGAAATTTGCAATTCAAATAATCGATTACAGATTAAATCTCGACAACAGCTTTAATATACTTTTAATCTTGCAGTTAAAATATAACACCTTTCTTTGCTCTTATTATTATCAAGTTAGCATAAAAAATTTTTATTTGACTTTATTTAAATATTATATTAAAAAATTAATTCTGAATTAACAATAACAACAATATAATAAATATGTTAATTATATTTAGCTTATAGTCCTCCCTTGATAATGGCTTCGAATAACCGAAAACGTTGCACTGACGAATCCGTCCATAAACTACTAAGGGAGAAATTCATAGTCCTTATGGGTGGCACTGTGGATAGATTGAAGTATAGTCCAGAAGCCGTAAGTTTTATATAGTTACAATAATTAAACTAATTAATTTGTTAATTAAATAATTTAATATACCTTATCTATTATCAGAGTGAGCTTTTTCATGAAGAGTTGGACTTATTCAAGAAAAAACTTAATAACTTTGAGAAATGTGCTCGACTCATAGTAAGAAAATATGACGAACTTAAGACTGTAAATTATTCTCTTGAGAAATTAAATGCAGAGCGTTCCAAGCTATTGCGTCATGTGAACACTGTAATGGAGGAGACTCAACTTAATTGTTTGGACGAAGCCACGTTTGTGAATTTGCTAAATGAAAATGCACGCAATATTGAAGGTCTTGATAAGGGTTTGGACGAAGCGAGTGGCAAGTGAAAAAATATGGACATCATGAGGAAACAAATTAAATCTTTTAGGAACTACACAAATATATATTTTTTACCAAAATTTTAGCTAAATTATTGACAAATACAGCTATTTTGTATATAAGTTTATTATAGGAATTTAATAAAATAAATATTACAAATATGATCAAAAGCTATTTAAATGAAATCAACAGCACTAATATATACGATTATATATTATAATATACCTATATATATTTAATCATTTGAATTCTTACAAGAAGTGGCAAACAGTACCAAAAAATTTAAATTAAATAATACAATTAATCGTGTAGCTTATTCTCTGATTAAATTCTATTAAGACCGAATTTGACTTCAATTAAATAAACGTTCAGATGTTTTCTTATCTTCGGGATTTTAATCTAAAATTATGTAGCAATTTGCGCTCTCGTTTCACTAAAAACTGTTAGACATAATTAATGTTAAATACGAAATATCGCAAAGATTTTTATTAGAAATTATTTGAAATTTAATATATTAACAATATATTGTTTATTAATAGTATAGAATACTTAATAACAATTAATCTATTTAATACTCCAACTAGGATTAAAGTAGAAGTAACCGAAGTATTGTATAAATAGTGGTGTAGAGTTAAAAAATAATTTATTAATAATTCAGAATAATTAAATAAAGAACTCAATTCTATTTCTAGACTAGATCAGTATAAGCAACCTGGGCAGATAAAAATTTCTGTCATATCTTAAGATTAACTTGGTAAATATTGGACAAGAAATGCATCAATTTACCGTTTTAACAAAAGCACTAAGAACTCGATGCTAATAGGTTACCGTGTACTAGAAAGATATACTATGATCTATACTATAATGACTTTTGTCGTGGTTGTTGCTCTGAAGAGGAGGAAAAATCAGTATTTCAGCTTTTTTTGCCAATGTCCATCTTTGGTCAATGGAAAATTAAAAACCTTTAGGGTTCCTTTTCTTACCAACTTGGCAGAGTTGTCATTTTATAAAATTAAGGACTTATCCAATTTATGAACGTATTGTTTAGCGTTACTCATACGCTGGCCACTGTGGCCTTTTTGGTTGTCATTGTAATTAGCGTTGACATAGTATATCACAATTGAGCATTATTTGAGCTCAAGTGGACTCTTTTACACAAGATTCCTGCTCCAATCTTAACTTATCTAGATTCTTTTCGCTTTTTATAAATAATTAAAAATGACATATTTTGAATTTAATAAAATAACATCATATGACGAGTAATATTATATACATTTAATGATCATTCATGGTAATAATATATAATAACAATGCATTCGTTGCCAATGAATTATGCCACACTATACCACAGTAATTTTCGAGGATTAATCTTGCTACAATAATTTTAGATTCTTGCTACACTTGATGAGTTCTGCAGATTAAAAATCTGTGTATATGAACTCTGATTGGTTATGCATGTGTAAAAGCAACATATTTCGACTTTCCTTGAGAGTCATTTAGAGAGATCCTGATGATGACTCTCAAGGATATGGTCGGATAAAAAAATATATATAAACCATTATATAATTAAAATTATTTTGTTATTAATAAATTAATTCAATTAATTTTAAAAGCTTAAGTGCAAGTATTTTCACACTTCTGATGATCGTTGTCAGCATTCATAAGAGTAAATATGTTAGGTTTCAGAATTTTTTCTCACATTAGTGTGAAATTAATTCATAGTAATAAGTAGAATGACTTAATAATAAAAAAGTATAAAAAAATATAAGAATTTTAAAGTGTTAAAATAATTTATTTTTGTTTTTGTTTTTAAAATTCCTGATATAGTGAAAAGCGAGCTAAGTATGCAAGCACTATTACTGCAAACACAACACAACGTACAATCAACTATTATAAGCGACGTTGACGTTGACAGTGATAGTGACAGCAGCAGCAACAACAACAGCAAGAACACCAACCACAAAAATAGTTAAAACAGAAACATAAAATATATCTTAATATGTTTGCTGAAATGTGCCATTAAATAAAAATAGGTTTGCTTTATGAACAGAGAACGCGGATAAGCGGCAGTAAATTAACTTTAAACAGGTACAGGCATGTGTTCATATCTATACACACACACATGGCAGGAGATGTGCATATTCTTGCAACATGTTGCAATAACAACACAATAGTCCAAAGCATACCAATGGCATTAACAACACTAGCAACAGTGGCGCCGTTGTCTTACAAACAATTTAACAACACTTTACTTCTTAATGCATACGTACGTACGTTTAAGTCCAGTCCAATGTTGAATACTCGTATATATGTTTTATATGTATGTATGTTTGGGTTTCTGTCGTGGTCTATTTTGGTCTGCTCTCATGTGGGTAAATTTGGTTGGTGTTCATACTGATGGACGTGTTGAGAAATTAAGTAATTTTGTTGGCGTTACTTTCAGGCTATACTCTTACACACACTCACACACTACTTCTTTCACTATTTTTTTATGAGCTTATAATTGCGTTCGTGTGTGTAATGTTAACTACCCAGTAGAAAAAGTGGTCTTCGAAGACATTGTCTTCAAGACGGTCTTTGATACCGCGTCCGCATTTTCAAGCAAATTTGCAAAACAATTGCTCAAAACATGAATGTAAATACTCTTTCTTTGCTTTCTCTCTCATTTTTAGTGTTCATAGCAACGTATTTGAATTTTGCCTCAGATGACGCTATGTTTTATAAATGAAGTGACGCAATAATTTTGAAGTGTAGTGAATAAACATTTGTGAAATAAATATTAAAAAAATCAAAATAAATAAAGAAACAAAATCATTAAACTACGAAATATTAAAAAAAAAGAAAGTAAATCAAAACAAATTAAATAGTGACTTCCTGAAAAATATATTGATATTAATATTGAAGACAATAATTCCAGTGAAAGTTGTTTTAGAAACGAAACAAAGGATGTTGAAAATAAAAAAACTGAAAACACTTGTGAAAAATTAGCTGTTATATTTAAAAAACACAGGATTAACAGGCGTTGTAGTAATGATATTTTAAAACTCTTAAGATCAGAAGGTTTAATTGTACCAAAATCCTCTTCAACGCTTTTGAAAACATATAAAACTTCAACAATTGATGATAGCGAAATGCTATAAATTATTTTATATTAGTTTTAGTTAATTTTAGATATGCTAAGTTATATTAAGTTAATTATTTAAATTAATTTTCATTATGTTTACTAGTTTTTACTAGTTTATTATTAATATCTTAATAAAATTTGTAATAATTTATAATAAAATTTATAATTTATTTTTAAAACTTTTAATTTTGAATGTAATTTAAGAAATTATTATATAAAATAAATAAAAGTACAAAATACAACAATTTCTTTCTACTTATTTAAAGAGAAAATTGAAATTCATTTAAAATTTAAAGAGCGCAATAAAAGAGTAGAAATAAAAAAAGGGTGAAAAAATTATATGAGTACTGCACTAAGAGCGCACAACTTTCTGTCGGTCTTCGAGACATGTACACAAAAATTCATTGAAGACATTTGGCTAATTTGTATGAAAGTGTCTTCGAAGACCGTCATACATTTGGATCGATCGGTCTTCATGTATGTATCCATGTCTTGAAGACGTCTTCGATGACGGATCGATCCGTTTTCTACTGGGTAGTATGTAAGTGCAATTAAAAAAAAAAAACCAACAGCAATATGTGTATATTTACATTTTGTTTTTTAATTTTGTTTAATTTTATTTCACTTCTTACATTAACCACACTGGTTGAGCTTTGCACAATTTTATGTGTATATTGCACCCTGAGCAGAGTTTCGTCACTTTTTTGGTTGCCATACACTAGTAATTTTTTGTTTCGAATGAAATCCTTTGGTGTTATGAAAAGTTGTTTTTAACTTTGTCAGTTCATTTAATAGTTTTAAATTGTGCGCAAAAATGACCGACGAAGTTGAGGGAAATTTTTTTTTATGGAAAAGACATAAGCTCCACAAAAATGCATAAAATTATCAACAGGGCCAAAAGCATCAAAGCAAATATAAATTGTTTTTTGAAAACTTGTCAAAAAATAACCAAAAATTTTTTTTAACTTCAATAACTTCAATAAGGGACTAATAAATAAAAGGGTCCGTAACGGTTATAAATTAAAAAAAATTAAAGACTAAAAATCAAAAACAAAAAACCCTACAGATCTCTTTAAATTTAATTTGGTGTCCAAAGCTCAAATCACTAAATGAATTTGATAGACTGGAACTGTAAGACTGGAGTCCTGTCATCATTATGGGCACATAACCACATGTGTAGGTGCAAACCTATGCCTTTAGTATATTGCCGGTATATTGTTCACTGCTGTAACTTACATTGAAAATTTCAAGCAAGCACAACGATCTCACACATTCACCTTCTAAGTGTTTTAACTTCATCACAGGTATTTCATTTATAATGTTTGCTGAAAAGATCCTGAGATTGAAAAAAGTACACTTTGACAGAAGACAGCTGAAATATACAGATGATACACAGATGTAGAGACCCCACCTCGAATTAATACTAACGTAGTCACGGGGCAAGACAAGGTCTTTAGGAATAATGGAAAGTGGTTTAGTCGTTTAGTCAGTGCGAGTCGGGTACTCATTTTCCGGGGCGCCGTATTGTGGTCAATGCGTGGCATTCCACTTGCAGCAAAAAAAAAATTCCTTTGTCACGCGTTCATGCATATGGATCGGCCGCCCGCTGAGACACACATAACGACAGTACTTCCCGTAACACAGTCAACACTCCCAGATATTATTAGCAATACCCGGAAAGAAATTTTGCTTTTCTTCCAAAAAAAAAAAACTGTTTGACGCTACTTTTACCTGTTAAGTGTTCACCTTCAACAGTTTTTATGCGTTGCCAACTCTTATTAAAAGCTCCACTAAACAATTATTGTCATTTTCTTTTTTCAAAAACAGTTCGTTTGTTTTAATTGCTTTTTTTTGTTGAAAGAACTCATGAAAATTAACCCAAAACAAATTTTGCACAAAAAAAAAACAAAAAAAAAAATTAAAAGAAAACAATTAACTTGAAGCTTTGGCAATAATATGCAGTTTGCATAATTGCTATTATTTTATTTTTTCAACAAAAACACTCTGAAAACACTATGTAGTGCAGAAAAGTCGGGAAAGTAGTGGAAAATTGTGAAAATAGAACTAAAAACGTTCTGAGGTCACACCAAAGGCAACAACTCAATTGCAATGTTGCTTATGTTTCAGTTTAAAAAATTTGTTTTCTGAACTTTATGAATTCATTGGTGCCATATTTTTGGCATTTTTCAATGGCGCTTTCAGTGCTGCCAACTACATGTGTCAGAAACAGTAAACAAAAAGGACAATAAAAAAAAAATAAATAAATAAAAAAATGGTAATAAAAATGAAAAAGAAATGTGATGACGACATTTTTAGCGGAGAGTCAACCATTGAGTCAACTAACTCTGCAGTGACAAAAGGAAAGAAATCATAAATAAAACAACTAAATAACGTTTTTAAACAAATGGAACACAAAGCAGCAACAAACAACAACAACAACAACAATTTTGGCCATGTCATTCAAAATTTCATATGAGCATGGAGCATGTTGCACTGGTCAGCGCTAGCACCCATACTCCTCCTTTGTAAAAAGTGAATATATATGCATATATATACATATATAAACATATATATATAAAGTACAGTACAAAGTATAAGTGTGCTAGTATAAATTAAGTGTGCGTGAAAAATGACCTATGATTCTAGCTGGTTTTCCTCCATCCTCCACAGAATTGTAGACGTTTTTACTTTATATTCCCAATCTCTAGAGTGGCATAGGACTCATGAGCTGCGCTTTGGTGGTAGTATTTATAAAACTCGGTACGAGTTCTGAGTTAAAAGTTTCTGTGCGGCTCAAAATTTGTATAACCCTCTACAAATGTATGGCCGCTAGTGCTTCTTACCGAAATTTTTATTTTACGTTTTTGGACCGTTTTTTTCCCTAATTTTCAGAGCAGAAAATATAAAGTTTTGCTGAAAATTTGTATGAAATTTGAAATTTTAATTCAACTTAGAAAATAAACAAAAAGTAAAAAAAATAAAAATTTTCTGTGTCAAAAAATGGAAATTAGACGCTCATTAAGCTGAGCGGACGAAAGTGGACAAAAAAGGTCCTTAATTTAATTTAAACTTGAAAAAAGTGAATAAAATTTTCATTTATGTGAAAGGATATGAATAAATTTGTAAAAATAATTATTAAAAACAAAGTAAATTAAATAAAAAAGGAATAGTAATGATTAAGTAGAGAATGTAGTATTTGCATTTTTTAAATTGACCACACAAATGACGATTAACACGTCTAATTATGGTATGGTTGGAAAATTTTATTTAAAAATGTTAAAGTTCTATATCTCGAAAACTAAACTATATTGACACACCATATGTTGTGTAGTAATGGTTTGTTTCCATTGTCTTCATTGAAATAGTTTATTTTATGAAGGTCTCTCGCTAATGAATTTGATTGACCAGAGCTTTCCTGCTCATGAACTTAGTTAAGAATAAATGAAGTGAAATTACACTATAAATATCGAATGCAACATTGCAACATATATTGTTGCGTACGTTCACACGTTGACGTAGTTGTTTGCGATATTTGAATCCCGATAAGTAATTAAATAGTCGACTCAAGTTTTATTTAACCGCAATAAAAATGCTCTGAATTTTATGAAACGCAAACACACAATTTTCACTCATAGCAATACATAACGAAACTTAATTAAAAACTAACTGACATTCTTTAAAACTATTATTTAAATTTTATATTATTATTATTATTTGAAGAGGGTTAGCGTATGGCGACCTAAAAGACGTATTGTGCCCCTTAGTCGGATTCGAGTGTTTCTCCAAGTCTGATTTCTTTAATGAAAGACAGTATAGAGCCTCTCTTTCGTAGTCTTGAATCCTTCTGACCTATGAAATACGATTCTAGGTGTTTCTCCCCACCAAGCACTCCGAAAACACATGGCATGCAGTTTCACTCTCTTCTCTACAGTATCTGCACTCTGAGCTAGATTGAATTTCTAATTTCATTAGGTGATTATTCAATATACAGTGACCGGTCAATAATTCCGTGATGAATCTTAGGTTATTTTTTTGATTTTATTAGAAATGAATCAACTTATTTAATAGCACATTCACACAATCTCATTTAGGCGGTTTTGTTCATTATAGTCACTAATGAGGATGATTTGCCATACAAAGTGCTTTCATATAAATGAGCTCAATATAAATAAATCAGCTCATTCAAGCCGATAAATGTTGAATGCAATACTTGAAAATAAATTTTCCACAAGGCAAATTACTAAAAGTTGAAATATTTCTCATATATTTTATAAGTAAAATGTAAACAAACAAGCTATTTCACATGCATAAATCAGCATATGGCAATGGAAACGTCCAAATCCTTATTTCATTAAAATAAGTAGTTTGAGCTGCAGTGGAACCATATTACTAATCTTAAAATCATTGAATTAAAACTATAAAAACTATAAAATAAATCTAATCCAGTAGGTTTTGGATATATTATATTTCAGTATGAGATCAGTTAAAAATTTTATGAATATATTTTGATATGTTAGTTAGACAAATTTCGTAAAAAATTTCGTGTAATTCTTTTATGTTTGTAACTTTGTAAAAATGAGTGACGACGCCAGAAAAGGAGAAGGGAGACATTATTTATTGGTGGAAGATTCGGATGAAAGCATTGAAGCAATATCTTTTGTTTCATATGAATCAGAAAAAGAAGAGCCGCCATGTGAACCAGAACCAGAACCAGAACCAGTGCCGGAACCACCACCGGAAGAGGTAGTCAAAGCACCACCAGTCTATGAAACTGGTAAAGTATTTGCTGTTTCGGGACCAGGTAAATACATAACTCATTAGCTGTTTTAATAACTTGATTTGCTAATATGTAAACAATCATTATTTTTTGGGACAAACAAGTCGTTACTGCTGGAGAAATGTTGGGTGCTGCTATGTATGAAATGGTGCGCGTTGGTTATTTCATGCTTGTAGGTGAGGTGATTCGTCTTGAAGGTGACATGGCTACTATACAAGTTTATGAGGATACGTCTGGGGTGGCTGTAGGTGATCCTATATATCGTACTGGCCGACCGTTATGTGTTGAGTTAGGTCCTGGTATAATGGGTAATATTTTTGATGGCATACAACGACCTTTGCGTGAAATCAGCGCGAAAACTCAACGAATTTATATCCCAAAGGGCATAAATGTAACAAGTTTGTCTCGAGAGCGCAAATGGGATTTTACACCAAAAATGAATGTAGGTGATTACATTACTGGTGGAGATATATACGGTGAAGTTGTTGAGAACAGTTTAGTAACCGAAAAAATATTATTCGATTTGCACTATATGGGCACAATTAAATATATTGCACCCCAAGGAATTTACTCAGTTGAAGATGTTGTACTGGAAACTGAGCATAATGATGTTGTTACAAAGCATACTATGCTACAAATATGGCCAGTACGAGAACCACGCCCGGTTAAAGAAAAAATGATTTCAAACTTTCCACTTCTAACTGGACAACGTGTACTGGATTCGCTTTTTCCGTGTGTTCAAGGCGGCACAACTGCAATTCCTGGTGCTTTTGGGTGCGGTAAAACTGTCATATCTCAGGCAAGTTGAGTTCAATTTTTATATAAAAATATGTATACATTTTATATATGTATATTTATTATGAATTTTAAAACTTAATTTTATTTATTTTAAATGTTTAATAAGTTTCTTGACTTATCAAGGCTCTGTCAAAATACTCCAACTCAGATGTTATCATTTATGTTGGTTGCGGTGAACGTGGTAATGAGATGTCTGAAGTATTAACCGAATTTCCAGCATTGACTATAGATATGGAAGGTGTTACTGAATCCATTATGAAGCGTACTGCTCTTGTTGCCAACACATCTAACATGCCTGTCGCTGCTCGTGAAGCTTCTATTTATACCGGTATTACACTTTGTGAATACTTCCGTGATATGGGTTACAACGTATCTATGATGGCTGATTCCACATCACGTTGGGCTGAAGCTCTTCGTGAAATTTCTGGTCGTCTCGCTGAAATGCCTGCCGATTCCGGTTATCCAGCTTACTTGGGTGCACGTTTAGCTTCCTTCTACGAACGTGCTGGTCGTGTGAAATGTATGGGAAGTCCCGATCGTGAAGGTTCTGTATCTATTGTTGGTGCTGTTTCACCGCCTGGTGGTGATTTCTCAGATCCCGTCACATCAGCAACTTTGAATATTGTACAAGTGTTTTGGGGTTTAGACAAAAAGTTAGCACAACGAAAACATTTCCCTTCAATTAATTGGTTAATTTCATACTCAAAGTATATACGTTCTCTCGATAGCTATTATGAAGAGAATTTTCCACAGTTCCCACCACTACGCGCAAAAGTTAAACAGATTTTGCAAGAAGAAGAAGATTTATCGGAAATTGTTCAATTGGTAGGTAAATCATCTTTGGCAGAAAATGATAAGCTCACACTCGAAGTTGCTAAGATGATTAGAGAAGACTTCCTACAACAAAATTCATACTCTCAATATGATCGTTACTGTCCTTTTTATAAGACAGTCGCCATGATAAACAACATAATAGGCTTTTATGACATGGGTCATAGTGCAATAGAATCTACTGCGAATGAAGAACAACGTGTTACTTGGGGTGTTATACGTGAAAACCTCGCTGACATTATATATGAGCTATCTATAATGAAGTATAAGGTAAGAATGATTAAAATAAATTACTTTTAAATATTTTAAATTTTACATTATTGTCGTAGGATCACAAGGAGTTAGGCGAAGAGAAACTCTCAGAAGAAATGAAATCTTTATATGAATCAATGACGAAGGCCTTCAAAAAGTTAACAGATTGAGCAATAATTTTACAAACAGTTAAACAAGTATTCAAATGAAAATTATATGGTTTTAGATAAAGGCTTTAATCTAAAAAGTTAGGAAATAAACAAATGTGTTGTGTTGATTTCAAAACTCTAAAATTATATATTTGTGAAAATATATCAAACCCTTAAAGAGGGGAAATTGTTTTATAAAATGAAAAATTTTTAGTAAACGAAAAATGTTCTCTTTTATTTAGCTTAAATCATATATTCTCCAAATATAAAATATATTTTATATATATAATATACTATTATATTTATATAACCACCAAATAGCTTTTAGAGGCGCGTTTCGGATTTGCCTATTCGATAACGAATTTTTGTAGAATCAGCTGTTTCCCGTAACTTCTCCACTAAGCTATATATTTGCGCAATATCGAGTTGGAATGTTGTTAACTTTTTACATTGAATACGCTAACAAAAGTGGCACACGCTATCTAACGTTAAAAAGTATATGCAATTATTACATTAATTTTTTTTTTGCAGTAGATGGAAAGCATTGACAGCCAGAGTATGAGATTTTAACCTAATAAAACCATCTCTCAGAAATGAATGGAGAAGATTTTCATCGCACTGTGGAAATTTCATTCCAATAATTATGAGTTGGTGATATGAGTAAGTGTCTTAATACCTATTGGACTAGGTTTATATAAGCCAGAAAGCATGTCGCAGGTATATGGAGAACCGGCGAACGGAGTGAGGTTATTGCGTAAGCGCGGGAGGTAGATTAGTGGTAGACTCTGTGACAGTAATTACAAGTGCCACGGTTAAGGAGAGGGATGATAAGGGCATCCGCCTATTACATTGGTTAATCAAACGACTAGTAATTTTCTATTTTAACGTTAAAGTGTATGCACGTGTTATTAATCCCACAGAGAAAACGTACTAATAATTTCTCAAAAATCGATCTCAAAAAAGTTATAACGCAAATTTAATATCAAGACTCAAATTATATATGGTACTATTTAGCAAAAAATATTGATTTCAGCAGAATATCAATTGAAATACGAACAAACAAATGTTCTTCTAGAACTTCCATAAAACTTTCTATCACTTAAAAGTTCTTTCGCATGCACAAATCAACTTATGCCAATAGAAACAATCAAATCTTAGTTTGATTAATATAAATTAATTTAGCTGCAGTGGGAACATGATATATAAGCGAAAAATATTGTGCAGAATATTTGACTGTACTAAAATCTGGGTAGTTTTGTGAGTTTAATATAATATAATTCAGTAAATAATATTTCAGAAAGAAAGAAATATTGTTCAGGTCATAAAGTGTTAATATAGACCTACGAATACGAAAAAAAGCAATAGTAAAAAAATTAACGAATATTTTAAGCCTGATTTTGAATCTCTGCTGTATAGTCAAAAGAATGTTATGATTTTTCCGTTGGTCGTTTCCGTTGGCTTAAACTGATATACGTATGTGAAATCGTTTGTTTGTTTAAATTTTAGATATTAAACATATAACAAATATTTTAAATTTCCCTTTTTTGGGGTAATTTCGCTTGTGGAAAATTTGTTTTTAAGGGTTAAGAGTCGAAAGAGTTCGACATTTTTCGTCTTAAATCAGTTAATTTATTTATAATGAGCTTAAATATATGCAAGCATCTTGTGGGGTGAATTATCTTCATTAGTGGCCTTAATGAGCAAAAATGCCTAAATGAGACAGTGGAAACATGTTATAAGTTTACTCCTAAATTCAATTTATTTAGAATTTTTATTCTCCATGAACACCAGTAACTATTCTTAAAAGAAAATATAATCAACCACTCAAGTGAAATACAGTATGTAGCTAAAAAATATTAACTACTACAAACTAAAGCAATTTAAAAAATATGATCAGAAAATATTTGTTAACTAATTGAACGTTATGGTCAAATACGGTAAATGAGCGAAAAGCTACAGTATTGGACGGAACTTGCACGGTTGCGTAGGTACAAGTGCACTGAATTGTATATAAAATGAATATGAACACAGAATATTGACAAACTACAATTACGAGTAATTTCCAATCTCAGTTGGTCTTATAACGTAATGGTTACCATCGCTATATAATATGCTTATAAACAAAAGAAATATTTTTAACCCGGTTGTTTACTCGTTTTTGTACAATGCTTACGCATACGAATCAGAGCACCGGAAGTAGATGCAGATATTCTGACATCATATCCTGACGATACTCCGTATGGCTGTTCAATATTGTCGTCTAGCGTTGGCTGTTGATTAAGGCATTGAACATTTTCAGGCATCACTTGTTTTTTACAATTAATTTAACCATGTAGGATTGTAGAAAAAATTAAATTTAAAGAAAGTGTAAAAAAGATGGAGTAACTTAACTATTGAGCTGTGGGATTTTGCATTGGAACCTAGATAACTATTGTTGCAATTCATCAGCAAAAACGAGTGGCTCCGAGCGGTAGACACTGTCCCTTCTTGAATTAATATGTCCTCTAACTATAGCTCAACCTCTCCACTCCGTAGTTGAGTGGTGGTTCTGGGACGTAAACATGGCCATTCTTGGCTGTCCATCAGTTTAAATGCCTTAATGCACACAATAACTTGAGTTAAATTGATCTTTGGGTCCAATCCATTGCAGTGGTTATGTTTCTCAGCCATGACCCAAGTTTACTCCAGTAATCTCACCTATTTCCAATTCACGCATGTTCTCAAGCAACTCCCCCTACAAATAATTCGTTTACTTAGTCATATCATAACCTATGTATTCGTACTTGTAATGCTTTTCTTGTTGTTTGTTCTATAGATCTCCACGGGTTGCAACAATTATAAAAACTCTTCAAACGTTTTTTGTTTTAAGATGTTTAATTTTGTCACTTATATTACTATGAATTATCTCTTAAAGCTCATTAGGACAGTTTTTGACTGCTACAGATCTCAAATTGAGATGTCGACGCAGTACAACATTTCTCTTAACTGGGCTTCCCGATTATAGTGATAATTTTGGCAAATGCAAAGCAGACGAGTTAGTCAGATGGGGTACTTCAAGAAATCACTCCGAACGTTTGCTCACAGATCTTTACAGAATAGGTAACCATGCTAGAAGATTGAATTTCCCTTTCAATTATTCCATTAGCAGTTGCGGAGAGGACTATGAAAGTACTACTCACTTATAATTTGTTACAAATATTTTTAGTTAAATATGGTGCTCGGAATACCATAACTTTTTGGCATCTCCCGAAAATATAAATAATATAATATATCGAACATAGCAGTGCTGGAGACTAAGAACTCTTCCTCTGTGGCATCTCTCGTTACAGCACTTTAGAAATTGCAAATGAAGAAGAAATAATCCTATCCAAACAAAGTGACTTTAATTTAGGATTAAAGTTAAAATATCGTCCGTTTAGTAGTTTTGGAAGTTAGACGGAGACAGGAGCTACTGGCCCAGAATCCTACTGAGTTTAAAATTGATTCTTAATATATGTGATTAAACTAAGTCTGCGTGTTGTTGGAAAGATTCTATTTCTTCAACTAGGTGAGGTGGAACCACAAATCGATGGGGTTGAAATTAATGTGTGTGTGGGAGCAGGGTAATATGTTAGCGAAATCTTGTGGGATAAAAGCGCAATTAGGTTACAATTTGTTATGGTCGCAGTACGCTCTCTTAATTTTAATCGTACGCAAAGAAATAAAGAAAGATTGTATTATTATAAATTGGGTATCTAACTCAATCTAACTCACAACCTAACTCCGTTCACAATCAACCATTACCTATGCTACTCCTAGCCCATGTATTCGTATTGTAAATCCTTTCAAGTTAACTGCTTTCCAGATCCTAGAGGGTTACAACAATAATAACATGAGAGACAGCTAAAGGTATCTTAATCATATCTTAATCCTAACCCATACATTCGTCTTGTAAATCCTATCATGTTAATTGCTTTCCAGATCCTAGAGGGTTACAACAATAATAACAACATGAGAGAGAGCTAAAGGTATCTTAATCATATCTTAATCCTAACCCATGCATTCGTCTTGTATATCCTATAATGTTAACTGCTTTCCAGATCCTAGAGGGTTACAACAATAATAACATGAGAGAGAGCTAAAGAGTTAGAAGCTAGAAGAGTTTCTAGCTATAGCTGGCTAGCTATAGCGGATAGCTTGTTCCATCCTTTCTTCTTCGTACTTATTTTTACAACTTCCCCCAAATAAGTATTGTATAGCAGCTTAAGTTATAAATTGGGTGAAAAAAAATCAATAAATTTAAGTAAATTATTTAATGTAAATTTATTGTATATTTAACATTGAGTTTTATATTTTCCTTAAACAATTACAAATGTAAACAACAAACCTTAAAATTTCTCAATTTTACAAGTTGGAATTTAGCATATGACTCTGAACACATTTCATCATATCCGAAAGGAAAACATGGCTAATTAATAGCATTTAATGTATTCTTTAATGCAATTCATTTCTTTCACAATTTTAAATATTTACATTAACAACAAATAAAATAAAATAAAGATACGAAAAGACAAAAAATAGTAAATTTTACAAGCAAAAAAATACTTCTCTAAACAATAATACTTATCATCTTTGCTTGCATGCAATTTAAGTATATCGGTAAGTATGCGTGTGTGTGTATATATAAGTGTAAGTAAATAAGTAAGTATATGTATTTATATCAATGGAAGTGTGCGTCCTTAAGGAGTTCACAATAAATGCACAACTACATTCCAAATACAAACTAGAACTAACAAAAAAAAAAGATTTAAAGGCACATTCTTGTACTTATTCAAACAAAATGGAAAATTACCCAAAACGGATATGTTAGGTAAGTTTTAACAAAAGCAATACAAAGAGGCCGGAATGATTACTTTACAATTTTAGAGCAAAATATTTGCTGGACTTTAGAATTGAATTCTGTTTCACTATTTGTACAATTCTTACAAATCACAATTAAACAATGGAATGCTGGAAATTTATCGGCGTTAAACGTTCGTCAGTAATTGACTTAACGGTTGGACCAGATTTTTAGTTTGGATTTGTTGTGTTTGTTTGTTGGTTGGTTGGTTTGTTTGTTTTCTGCATTACTATATAAACTACATAACAATTAGATTAGATTTCGTTAAGTTAATAAGCATAAACCAAAAAAATTGGTTTAATCTTCCAAGTTTCTGAAAGCTTGTTGCAAATCTTCATGTAACTGTTCGAAATCGGCTTTGATTTTAGCTTCACCATCCTTAACGGGATCCTATTTGTTGAAGCAAAAAAAAAAAATGTTTAATAATGACATTTAGAATTTATTATACTACAGCAAAATATACATACCTTGAATTTCATTGAAGATAATTGATACATGATATTGCCCATTGCTTCGCGAATAACATTCCATGTAATCTTATTTTCAGATTGTGCGGTTGATTCAACTGAATGACGTGCCATATCATAGAAGGCAATAATATTTTTCAACATGCCGACGGTCTTATAGAAAGGACAGAAACGATCGTAGGATGAATACGAGTTTTGTTGCAAGAAATCATCCTTTAACAATTTGGCAACTTCAAGAGTAATTTTATCGGTTTCAGCCAAAGAAGCTTTACCGACCAATTGTACAATTTCTGACAAATCTTCTTCTTCTTGTAAGATTTCCTTTACTTTTGTACGCAATGGTACGAATTCAGGGAAGTTCTTATCATAGAAATCATCCAAAGCGCGCATATATTTGGAATAGGAGATCAACCAATTGATTGAGGGGAAATGTTTACGTTGAGCGAGTTTTTTATCTAAACCCCAGAACACTTGTACAATACCCAATGTAGCTGAAGTGACAGGATCTGAGAAATCGCCACCAGGTGGTGATACAGCACCAACAATGGATACAGAACCTTCACGTTCAGGATTACCCAAACATTTCACACGACCAGCACGTTCGTAGAAGGAAGCTAAACGTGCACCCAAGTAAGCTGGATAACCGGAATCGGCAGGCATTTCAGCGAGACGACCAGAAATTTCACGAAGAGCTTCAGCCCAACGTGATGTGGAATCAGCCATCATAGATACGTTGTAACCCATATCACGGAAGTATTCAGAAAGTGTAATACCGGTGTAAATAGAAGCTTCACGAGCAGCGACAGGCATGTTAGATGTGTTGGCAACAAGAGCAGTACGTTTCATAATAGATTCAGTGACACCATCAATTTCAACGGACAATTCAGGGAAATCACGCAATACTTCAGACATTTCGTTACCACGTTCACCGCAACCAACGTAAATAATAACATCAGAATTGGAGTACTTGGACAAAGCCTATAATGAAAATGTTACATTTATATTGATAAATAATAATTATTGTCAAATTTATATTTAATGTTTATTACTTAATTTGAACCAGACTTAAGATAAAGTTTTATTAATATTTATGCCGTATAAGGGAAAAACTTAGAGGTGTAAAACCACCTTATTATTCAAGTTATCGAAGTTTTATTAATCACAAATATTTCTACCTCGTATTTAATTATATTTAATAAAATTAACTTATAAGCCTGATTTAAATCAGGTAACATGTATATAATTATATATGCACAGCTACATACATATATATATTGAAACACACTGTACTTACTTGTGAAATGACAGTTTTACCACAACCGAAAGCACCAGGAATAGCTGTTGTACCACCTTGGACACAGGGGAATAGTGAATCCAATACACGTTGACCAGTCAACAATGGATGATTTGCGGGTAATTTTTCAGTAACTGGACGTGGTTGACGTACAGGCCACACTTGCAACATAGTGTGTTTTGTAATTTCACCATCAAATTCAGTTTCCAATACAATATCTTCTACATTGTAATTGCCAGCTGGTGCAATATAGCGTACAGTACCCTTACCACGTGGATTAATAATCATCTTGTGTTTGACTAATGTATTTTCATGTACTAAACCATACAAATCACCACCGGTGATGTGTGAGCCAACTTTAACATTAAGTGGATTGAATTCCCATGCTTGGTTGCGAGATAATGCGGGTACATTAACACCCTTTGGTATATAAATGGAATTTGTCAATTCATTAATGTCTTTCAATGGACGCTGGATACCATCAAAAATGCTACCCATAATACCGGGACCCAATTCAACAGACAATGGTTTGCCTGTACGTAACACGGGATCACCAACGGTTACACCAGAAGTTTCTTCGTATACCTGAATTGTAGCCATATCACCTTCAAGACGAATAATTTCACCGACAAGTTCATAGTAACCGACACGTACCAACTCGTACATAGCAGAGCCTGACATGCATTCAGCAGTAACGACTATGGATAGTCAAGAAGAGTAAGAGAATTATAATTAACATTAACTATGTTAGATGTAAAAAATGTATGCATTGTTAAAGGAACTGTTTTAATACTTACCAGGACCGGAGACAGCGAATACGCGTCCATACCTGGATTCGCGATCTTCATCATCAAAACGCTTTAAACTAGACATTGTTGGTTATGTACTGTACAACTGTAAGTAAAAAATAATTATAGTTTATGTAGTTTTGAACGGTGGCGTTATAAAAATGATATATTGATATTTATTATATAAAATAACATTATGTCAACTTTTTGTATGCACAAAGCGAACTGTTAAATTAAATATTAAGAAATCATTATTAGGTATTTTTAATAATAATAGCGACTAAACGCATAAGAGTCAAACATATATATTATTATTATGGCAAAATTACATATATGGAAAATGAATTCCATATATAAAAATTAAGTGATATATAAGACAGAATATTGCGTCGGTTAAGTAAGTTCTGTAAGTTCGGTACAAAAATTATACAGGTCCAATATGAGTATTAAGTTTCAAGCTTCGTTAAAACTTTTACCGAAACGTTTTAATTAATGAGTCAAGTTTTTAACCAATCGCAGTGCTTATATATGGCACACGACGTTTAAATGCGATTGTGAGGACTTATCATTGAGTTGGCCTGTAAAAATATCATTCTTATACAGTAGTTCTGTTGATTGAATAGGAATTTGAGTGTTTTCATTAGCAGTTCCCGCTGCAGTTGTGAGGAAGACGAAAAAATACATAAGCTTTCTGGTTATTATAACCTACAAAAGCGGATGGGTCTACGTTCCGAAACTTTGTCTTCATAGTCAAGTTAAGTGTCGTCACTTTTCACAAAATCTGCTTTATTATTGCTTAGTGCATTTTCAATGTAGATTAAAGATGTTAGTGACTTACTTATATTGTTAGTAGTTTGCAAGATAAAACCTTGAAGAGCGTCTTTGGGTTTAAAGCTTCGAAATAGTTTTAACTCAAATTCTTTATAGTAGCACAAAAGGCCACAAGGTTTAAGTAAAAAGGGCACTGTGCTAACAGGGTATCATTATAGTCACTGTAATAAGCTTAGTCCTCGTTATAGCGCGATATTGCATTTGAGTGTTACGGTTAAAAAAAACTATATACAGCTATCAAGACTTTTCTTATTTGAAGTTATAGAGTTATAAATATTGTATTAAGGTAAGAAAACTATGTAAAAAATTTTACATAATATTTAAATTTTTTTTTTAACTGATATCGCCAAGTCAGCTGACTTCTGGAATTTTAGTAAGTTTTTATTCATTTAACTCCTAAATATGTTTTTTTTATCTTTGTTAAAGCAATTTTTAGTTAAATTTTATTATTTTTTTTTAATTATTATTAAAGTATTTTTAGTTGTAAAAAAAATTATTTTAAGTAAAGTAAAATTGTTTTTTCATTGAAATTGATTTTTATTTTTTTAGCGGCAAAATTTTTAATTTTGAATTATTAAAAAACTATTTTAAATATTTGCTTACATAAATTAAAATAACAATTTTTATTTTAGTAATTTCACTCTTCAGTTTAACTAATTAACAAAACTTCACTCCAAAAATTATTCTGAAGTAAAGACGTTAACAAAAATGTTAACCAAAATTAAGCTCTTGAAAAATTCCATTCAAAGAGCTTAATTTTCACGTGATTTAATTTATTCGAAAAAAAGCTCTTCCCATTGGAAAACCAATAACAAGACCAATAAGAGAGTTGGCAACAGCTGAGAGTGCAGTTTTTTTGGTGATCAATAAACAAAATATGAGAACTGAATAAATTCTTCCAATAATAAAATATATTAAATAAAATTCTTATTAGATATTCCAAACATGTTTGAAATAAATAAATACAATTTAATGCTTCAAAATGTATACGTGTAGTGAGAAAAAAAATACATTGTTTTTATTTCTTTTTGCATTCATTCCAGCACAGAAAGTTAGGCGAAGAGCCCGTCAAAACAATTTTCTAATTCGAATTCGAGTACGAATATTTGACAACTCATTTGACGTTGATCATGAGACTGATTTCAAATCAGCTGACAGTAAATTCTCACAAATAAAAGCAAAACAACAGAAAAATATATATGGGACACCATTTTGGAAATAATAGACTTAATGCAATTCACAACACTTGTTTAAGTTATTGAATAATTTTAATGGCAATGTAATACACATAAATAAAGGCGTGGCCTTCGATAAGAAACATATTTGAAATTCGATAATAGTTTTTGCATTTTTATAAATAATGCAACAAACAAAGAATTCTAATAAGAATGGAGTGCAAATAAAATCTTATTGAAAATTTGAACAATGTTAATGAACCAATAACACCACCCCTCAATGTGTGGCAATTTATTGTTTTTTTAATTATTCTTACTTTTAAAATGTTAATAGTTTTATTGTACATATTTATTATAAAAATTAAAAGATTTAACTTCTGTTCTGTTTGAAGCAAATGCATTCATGAACACTAGAGAAAAAAAAAGCGGCGTTGAACACAACCACTTGTTAACTAACGAGCGGTCACAAGACCAACATTTTACTCAGGTCAGCTGACATGTAATTTTTCTAATCAATTTTTTTTTTATTTATTTAACGTTTAAAATAATTAACTATTGTTTGTTAGTTAATAATAAAATGTTCAGTCATTTGTTAATCATATTTTTTGTAATTAAAATAGTTAATAATATATATTTAACACATTTTCAAAATAACTTAGTTTGCACAATAGAAAATTATTTATTAGTAGCGGAAAAATGATTTTAATTTTCTTTACGAGTTTTCATATTAAAAACAAACATCAAATAAACATTTTTCAATAAAAAAATAAAATAATTACCGATATTTTTTATAGGATAAATTAAAATGTACTAAGTTTCGTTTGTTTTTTGCTTAAATTGTATTTATCGTGGTGCTTTGTTACCGAACTTGCTGCTGTCTTTCACAAACGTTAATGTCTCTCCAACGTAACGAATACCGTCTGACTGCGACGTCGCACTAAGTGCGTCTCTATCATTGCTTCCACATGACTTGTGCGATCGAGCTTTCGAACTTCGACTGGAATATTTCGAACATCACTTCATGACCAAAAAGCATTACCAGTATGATAATATTAAATTTTTTTTAAATGATTAAATTAATGTGATACATTTTATATGAAGACATTTATTTTTAATGTTGTTAAATCATTTATACATAATCGTAATAAATTCAAAAATAAAAAATTTTCAAAGATTTTTATGCTATACTCTTGAGATATATATATGTATAATATAAATATTATTTGTGTCACGCTCTCAGTTTGTACTTTACTTGTCTTTTACTCGAGATTGACTATGACTACTTCGTGGAACAGATATATTATCAAACACGTTCTTCTTATTGTTTACTATGTAGAGTTGGAGAGATTTTTTATATATTGTAAAAAAATATTCAAGTAGTTTAAATTAAAAACGTTTACGTATTGTTAGACAATTTTGTACTTTAAAAAAATTGGTTATTATTGAATAAATGATACTTAATAATCATCATATTGGTATTATATTTGATCTGAACAATCTTAGTTTCTTGAATGAATATGTTCAAGAGTATATATTGAGTTTCCATATAAACAAGCGAATATCTCTTTATTATGTTTAGAGGATAATGACATGTATGCGAAGACGGAGCTCTCATTGTATATATAAGAAATCGATGGAATGATTTGCTTTATATTAAAAATTACTTATTAAATTAAGAAAAAAATACTACATTTTAAAAGTTTTTGATAATATTCATAAAAAAGGTTCTAATATGCACACACATAGTTTATGTACATGGCAGTATGTTTTAAATAATACTGTTATTTACTCTATACAGTGTAGAATGTACACGTTCATATATAATGTAATGAAGCTGCGGATGAGAATGTGTATTTAAATAAAAATACAACAGTAATTGAGGTTATTAGGTTTCATCAAAATGATCCGCAATTGCGAATGCAGTTGTAGATGAGGATGCGGTTGAGAATATATGTATATATAAATGAAGGTACGGTAGTAATTGCAGCTGTCAGGTATCATAAAAATGATCCGCTATAGCAATACAGATGTAGACATCTATTACATTCGTTATCTTTAGTTATGTTTTGTTGATTTATTGTACGTTCACAATGTCATAATTATGCAAGAAATATTATTTGTTAAATTTATTAAATGTTTCCAGTGCTATATTGACTCGAAAGTGGAATATTTCAAATAAGAAATCAAAATAATGTATGAAAATGTTTGCACTTTAGATTAGTGCTCGAATCTCGAATCTGTTGATGCTTTGTCAAACATTACTATTGCAATAAGTTTTACTTATGCAGCAGTAGTTGCCACCTTTTTTTTATACTATATCCATACAAAATTCATACAAATATGTGCTAATAAAAGTCTATAATTGGGTACATGTAAACATAGATTAGCTTAATGCAGATTTATTTTATAGAATTATTTAGGTGTGATCATTTTTTATAATAAAAAATACGTTATATAAAAACAACTAATGCTTTAAATTAACATATACAACTAAATCTATAAGATGACGATAAGTCGCAACTTTTTCCTATGTTATAACAACCTTTCTTTCCTAAATTTGTTATAACTTCATAAAAACTATCAAATTAAAGCTTTATATATAGACTTATCTGAAGAACCCAAAGCCGTCTGTTATAATGGATGCCTGGTTTGAAAAGCTCTTCCACAATTGAAACTTTCAAAGAAAAGATCTTGTAAAAAGCTTTTAAAAATAGTTATAGCACATAAAATTAATTTTTAATAATGTTTACTATAAGAAACAATAAATTGTTTCGTAAAAATCAGTTAAAAAACAAATTAAAATTATTTAATTATAATAGGAGTTACTTTGTTTAAATCACTTAACAATTAAAAATCTATTTGGTCTATTTTATAACACAAAATAAGAAGTATTTATAAAAAAAGTCCATTACGTTATCAAATATAAGAAATTAAATTTGTTTTAACTGAGAGATTAATTATTCCTGGATGCCAATCACGAGGTGTTCAATCTAGATGTACTGAACTATATTACAATATCTAAACAAAACAGATTCAAAATTATTCTTCTTACTAATAAATACAATTAAATATTCATATAAATATTGAAAAATAGGGAAAACTTTAGGTTCTTTCGTATTTATTGAAAAAAATTCGATATTATTATAATCACATTTAAATTATATATTTTTAAAATTATACTTATTATATATAATATGTTAATTAAATTATTATGTATGTATATATATTCAGTAAAACAAAATTGGTGTATATTTTATTTTTTAATTATGAACTAATAACTTTTTATTGTAATCATTTTTATCTGGAAAACGTAAATTATGGTCATACAAAAAGCTATAGCTCATCTTTTTCAAGTTGGCTAGTAACTTTTTACTTACAGCCAATTCACATGAGTATGATCACGAGTTTTCCATTTTCATTTTTTTCATTTATATTAATTTATTTTTTTTTTTTTTATTATCTGTTTTTATTGGTCAATAAATGTCCATGATAATGGCTGGTGTAAGAAATAATTTAAAAAAGTCTTGACTAATCAAATCTTTTTACATTAAAAACAAAAAAAAAAGAGTTATTGAAGCATAAATGAAAAAATTATTTTTTCAAAGATTTCAATATAAAAACAATGTAAACGTAGAAAACATAAGAAATATAATTTAAATTGTTTAATTTCACAACTGTGACAATTTTTTGTATTTTCAAGAAAATTAATTGATTTCATGCTCAGTCAGTATCGACTTTCAAACTTTAGAGTTGGATTTCTAAACTTTAAAATAAAAACATTTAAATTTTAAACTAGATGGGCTACATTTTCAAGTATAGCTAAAATGCTAGCTTATTCTCTAAAAACGGCAGAAATAAGTAAAAGTGATAATTCACAGCACCGTTAATGGTAAAACCAAGCAAAAGTATTAGCTAATAGCATTAAAAAAAAATATAACCAGCAAAATTGCTAGAAAGCAGCATTAAAATAGAACAACAATATCTCATTTTACTTAAAATTTTTTTAAGAAAACCTTGAAAGAAAGATACTTTGAAAGACGAGGTTTATACTTTATTTTTAAGATATGAAGGATTTTTGAGTGTTCTTTTACAGATCGTCTTCTGTTTAAATACATTCCCCTATGTTTTTTTTTTGTTTTTTAAACGCAATTTTATTATATTTATTTATAAATATATTTGTTTAGTATCAATTTATAATTAGTTTAATAAATTTTATTTTATTTTTTGATTTTTTTGTTTTTTTTTGTAAAACACAATAACTAAATAATGTTTTATTCATTATTTATATTTTTTATTCCACTTTTTGTTAGTTTTTCACCTTTTTTTAAAGTTATTAGGAATTTTTATTAAAATATTTGTTTAAAACCAATGCAAAAATGAGTAAGTATTCTTATTTATATTGACGTTATTTACTACATTTTGTTAAATTATTAAAATTTTATAAATAAATTTTCCTTTAACAGGAATTTTATATTATTGTTATTATCTCAACTTTTCTTCAACAATAAGTATTATATTCCACATTGAATCTATAACATATTTACTAAGATATGTGCCAAATTTATTCGAAAAAACTAAAATAATTAACATTCAAAGAAAAATTGGGAATAAAATTTGGCTATAAAAAGTTAATAAAATATTTTAATATATATTATAATAAAAAGTGTGAGCCACGTATAAGTTATCGCTGTCAAGTAAGTATAAAAAACTTCCAGTGATCGTATTCGAAGAATTGTCGAATTGTCAATTGGTTGGTGATGTGTCAGTGGAGTATCATGTGCTCTCTTTCTTTAGCACTGCTGACGATCACATTTTCTTTGTACATAAAATGAGAAAAGAATAACAAATTTTTTTATACTTGACTGCTTACGATCACTTACAAGAATTAATGATAACAAAAATGTGTGCATTTGAGCATTTAAAGAATGTACGCATATAAAAATAATAAATTATACATTTATCAACAAATGGAAATATCAACGGAAGAATATTTTGTAAATTAAATTTATCACAAAAAGTATATTAAAAATCTTAACAAATGATATTGATATTATGAACAAAATAAAAAACAATTTATATATATATGCAGATGTTGGTCAAAGCAAAACCTTGACTAACGTGTAACGTTGCAGTATGAACACTTTCGAAATTATCTTAATTTAATTTTTGCGAAACTAAGGAAATTTGACTGTCTGAACATGTTATAATATTTAAATTTATTTCATAGAAGTTTGCTAGTATTTAACGTAAAAGAATAGCTAAAGGGTGCCCGAAATATGAACTGAAATATAATCAAAATATTTTTGGATTAGTAAAATTTTACAGATAAATTTATGTAAATGCAAAAGTATTTTACAATAAAGACTATAAAGACCCATAAAGACAGCTATGCATTTATTAATTATTATTAAACAAAACTTTCCACTTTACTATATTAATTATCCAAAAATACGGTCTTAATTCTTACTTTTAGGAAAGAAACTACTGTTAACTTTACATCACAACAAATGTGAAATATCCATTACCATATATAATTGATTATAAATATAGATTGATTATTATATTTATTCAATTGGCTATAATTAAAATTAATTAACTGTTTATGAATGCTTGAACTTCTAATCTAAAACTTGATTAGATTAGAGGGAAAAATCATCTGGTACGAGTGTGTATAAAAAGTTCAGTTATAGTCACAAAGTAATCATTTTGTGAGTATGAAGTTACTTAATTAAAATCCAATACAAATATTTAAAATGCACATATAGGCCGTGTGCGAGTTCGAGTAAATTGGTGGTAAATTGAGGGAAATAGTAAATTATGTCGGTATGGTAGCGAATGTTGGTATTTACCAGAATTTTGAGTAGGGTAAATTAGGAAAATAAGGTGTTACAATATGAAAACAATAAATACAGAAATAAATATTTACATAAGTGAAGTGCAAAAAA